GGAAGGGTTGGTGAAAGTATGCAGCGACAACCGGAAGGGTACAAAAGTATAACTGCTGGATGATGGGACGGAACATGCCACTGAGCTTTTTTTTTTTTTTTTTTCTCTTCCCTTTATCTTTTGGGTGAGCGTTGGGGCGGGAGTTGACTTCCATACGGTACGGGGAGCATTGCATGAAATCCAGCGGGCTTTCGGAGCCGAGAATCAGCACTGCATGGAAGGGGAACGAACAAGTTAGGTCGGTGGAATTACTAGACGAGAGACCCGAGCCTAAGGTACGGGATATAGCCAGCTTACAGAAGAATATGATTGGTGCAGAATAATGGTAAAAATAGGTTGTAAATGGACTAAACTCGACAGGTTGAGCTCAGCAGTATAGGTACCATGATTACTAGGGACGCATCCTATGTATATCTAAAGATCTGTTGGTGAGACCAGATAGTCACTACCAGATGAATCACTACATTAATCAACCTTGAACCTGGTTGACTGGTCAGGAAGGTCATGTATTGTCACCGCGCCTAGGGGGTCCAGCCCAACCATTTCAGAGTTTTGGGGAGATGCGACCACCCACCATACCAAATCCGGTCAGTTCTCATTCAACCAGCCCACGCCGGCGGATCTCTCCCTCCGCCCAGCCGGTTCAACAGTGTGCACAACCGCCCTATCTCGGCGCCGGGATTCCAAAATTACTACTAGCACCGCGAGGTGCTGAACCACTCTGCAATTGCCCAGTTAAGGCTTCAATTCCATCCATTCCCTTCTTGTTTATCCTGCCTTCTCCTGTTCCCTTCCCCCCCCCCTCCTCTTCTCCCTCCTCCCCCCATATTGTAATACCTCTTTCCCCATACCTCTTTTGCTTCCCTCAATCTCTCTTTTCACCCTTCCCCTCCCCTCTTCTCAATCCTGTGCTGGGCGACGGGACCGGCTGTGATCCCTGTGATTTTGGGATCCATTTCACAAATTCTGATAGAAGAAATAGGTAGGCAAAAAAAGAAAAAAGACCTTGGCGATGAATATGCTCTTGTCCCCTCTCATCCCTCCCTCCCTCTCCAGGTTCCATTACACAAATTATCCATGCCCGATAAAATACTTATCGATAACAGAACCTACACGCTTTTTTTCCGTTTAATCTTTCCCCCGTCGCCTTCTTCGGCTTTTCGCTCATAGATTATATCGAAAAGAGAATTACAGGATGTATGGAACATCTACCGGCCCTCAAACGGGCATTAATACTCCTCGCTCATCACAGTCATTGAGGCCTTTGATTCTGGCCCATGGCTCGCTTGAATTCTCTTTCCTCGTCCCGACATCGTTCCATTTCCACGCATCGCAGTTGAAGGACGCTTTCACAGCATCATTACCACAGCCAACAGACGAGCTTGCCCAAGATGACGAGCCTTCATCGGTCGCTGAATTGGTGGCGAGGTACATTGACCATGTCGCGCGGGAGGTGGAGGAGGGCGAAGATGATGCCCAGGGCACCTATTTGGAGGTTTTGAAATTGGCTTTGAATGAATTCGAACGGGCTTTCATGCGCGGCAATGACGTGCATGCTGTTGCTGCTAGCCTTCCCGGTATCACCTCGAAGAAGGTGCTCGTTGTCAAGGCCTACTATGCCGGTAGAGCTGCCGCTGGGCGGCCTACCAAGCCCTACGATTCGGCCCTCTTGCGAGCCGCGTCGGATGAGAAGGCCAACATTTATTCGGTGTTTGGAGGGCAAGGTAACATTGAAGAATACTTCGATGAGTTGAGAGAAGTTTATACCACCTACCCATCGTTCGTGGATGATCTGATCACATCTTCTGCTGAGTTGCTTCAGTCCCTTTCCCGCGAGCCCGAGGCCAACAAGCTCTACCCCAAAGGCTTGGACATCATTCAGTGGCTTCAAGATCCGGATTCTCAGCCTGACACCGATTATCTCGTGTCCGCTCCCGTCAGTCTACCGTTGATTGGTTTAGTTCAATTAGCACATTTCGTTGTTACTTGCAAGGTCTTGGGCAAAGCACCTGGTGAGGTACTCGAGAGATTTAGCGGAACCACCGGTCACTCTCAGGGAGTAGTCACTGCCGCGGCAATTGCCTCCGCCACTACCTGGGAAAGCTTTCAGCAGGCCTCTAAGAACGCGTTGACTATGCTCTTCTGGATTGGCCTTCGCAGCCAGCAAGCTTATCCGCGTACATCTATCGCCCCTTCGGTTTTGCAAGATTCGATCGAAAATGGGGAGGGTGTACCGACTCCGATGTTGTCTATCCGAGATCTTCCAAGGGCAGCCGTTCAAGAACACATTGATATGACCAACCAGCATCTTCCCGACGACCGCCACATTTCCATCTCTTTGATTAACAGCGCTCGTAATTTCGTTGTCACTGGGCCTCCGCTGTCTCTTTATGGTCTCAACCTGCGTCTGCGCAAGGTCAAAGCGCCCACAGGTCTGGATCAGAATCGGGTTCCTTACACCCAACGCAAGATCCGCTTCGTCAACCGCTTCCTACCCATCACCGCTCCTTTTCATAGCCAGTACTTGTACCCGGCCTATGACCGAATTTTGGAAGATCTTGAGGACTTGGAAATCTCCCCCGAGTCGCTCGCTATTCCCGTGTACGGCACTAAAACCGGCGATGATTTGTGCAAGACCGGTGAGACAAATATTGTGCCCGCATTGGTTCGCATGATTACGCACGATGCCGTCAACTGGGAACAAGCCACAGTCTTCCCTGGTGCCACACACATCGTTGACTTCGGTCCTGGCGGCATCTCAGGCTTGGGTGTCCTCACCAATCGCAACAAGGATGGAACTGGTGTCCGTGTCGTTCTCGCAGGAGCTATGGATGGTACCAACGCCGAAGTGGGGTATAAGCCTGAGCTGTTCGATCGTGATGAGCACTCCGTCAAGTATGCCATTGATTGGGTTAAGGAGTACGGGCCACGTCTCGTGAAGAACGCGACGGGACAGACCTTCGTTGATACTAAGATGAGCCGACTGCTTGGGATTCCACCTATCATGGTTGCCGGAATGACCCCTACCACTGTTGCCTGGGACTTTGTCGCTGCCACGATGAACGCGGGCTACCACATTGAACTTGGAGGCGGCGGTTACTACAATGCCAAGACGATGACGGAGGCTGTCACGAAGATTGAAAAAGCCATTCCTCCGGGTCGCGGGATTACGATCAACTTGATCTACGTCAATCCTCGCGCCATGGCGTGGCAAATCCCCTTGATCGGCAGGCTGCGAGCTGAGGGCGTGCCAATTGAAGGTTTGACAATCGGCGCAGGTGTTCCGTCCATAGAGGTAGCAAACGAATACATCGAGACTCTGGGAATCAAGCACATTGCATTCAAGCCCGGCTCCGTCGATGCTATCCAACAAGTGATCAACATTGCCAAGGCTAACCCAAAGTTTCCTATCATTCTCCAATGGACGGGCGGACGTGGTGGCGGACACCATTCTTTCGAGGACTTCCACCAGCCAATTCTGCAGATGTACAGCCGTATCAGACGCTATGAAAACATTGTTCTTGTGGCGGGCAGCGGCTTCGGTGGCTCCGAGGATACTTACCCTTATCTTTCAGGCACCTGGTCCTCGGGCTTCGGGTACCCTCCGATGCCTTTTGACGGTTGTCTTTTCGGCAGTCGCATGATGATCTCCAAAGAGGCTCATACATCCAAGAATGCTAAGAAGGCTATCGCTGATGCACCCGGCCTCGATGATAAAGACTGGGAAAAGACATACAAGGGAGCCGCAGGAGGCGTGGTCACTGTCCTGTCTGAAATGGGTGAGCCAATTCACAAACTGGCTACTAGAGGTGTTTTGTTCTGGCACGAGATGGATCAGAAAATCTTTAAATTGGACAAGGCCAAGCGTGTTCCTGAGCTGAAGAAACAGCGCGACTACATCATCAAGAAGTTGAACGATGACTTTCACAAGGTCTGGTTCGGTCGCAATGCTGCTGGCGAGACCGTTGACCTCGAAGATATGACCTACGCCGAAGTCGTCCATCGCATGGTAGACCTTATGTACGTCAAGCATGAGTCGAGATGGATTGACGAATCTCTAAAGAAGCTGACCGGCGATTTCATTCGCCGTGTTGAGGAACGCTTCACGACGTCTGAGGGCCAGCCATCTCTCCTTCAAAATTACTCGGAGCTGAATACCCCTTGTCCCAACATTGACAACATCTTGGCCTCCTACCCCGAGGCGGCCACTCAGCTCATCAATGCGCAAGACGTTCAGCATTTCTTGCTGCTCTGCCAGCGGAGGGGACAAAAGCCAGTCCCCTTCGTGCCTTCCTTGGACGAGAACTTCGAGTATTGGTTCAAGAAGGACTCTCTTTGGCAAAGTGAGGATTTGGAGGCTGTTGTAGGCCAAGATGTTGGAAGGACGTGTATCCTTCAGGGTCCCATGGCCGCCAAGTTCTCAACTATCATTGACGAACCCGTCCGCGACATCCTGGATGGAATCCACCAGGGCCACGTCAAGAGCCTTGTTCAGGACGTGTATAATGGAGACGAGACCCAGGTGCCTGTGATCGAATATTTCGGTGGGCTGTTCGATAAGGTTGATGATGATCAGGACATCGACGGTTTGACAGTTGCCGCAGACGGTGATAAAATTAGCTACCGCTTGTCTTCATCTCCTTCCGCGGACTTGCCTGAACTGGATCGCTGGCTTCGTGTTCTTGCTGGCTCGGAGTATTCCTGGAGACATGCGTTGTTCTTGGCCGATGTGTTCGTACAGGATCATCGTTTTGATGCGAACCCTCTAAAGCGCATTGTCGCACCTGTCTCAGGCATGTACGTGGAGATCTCGTATCCGAATGACCCGTCCAAGACCACTATCATCGTGAGAGAACCTTATCAGTCCGGCAAACTGGTGAAGACGGTCGAGGTAAAGATGAACGACAAGAACCAGATCAGCCTCACACTCTTTGAAGGTAGAACCGCTGAAGCTGCTGTGGTTCCTTTGACATTCCTCTTCACGTATCATCCCGAAGCAGGATATGCACCCATCAGGGAGGTGATGGAGGGCCGCAATGATCGCATCAAGGAGTTCTACTACCGTGTCTGGTTTGGCAACAGGGACGTTCCGTTCGATACTCCGACTACAGCCACTTTCAGCGGTGGACGCGAAACCATCACGTCGCAAGCTGTAGCTGACTTTGTGCATGCTGTTGGTAATACTGGTGAGGCTTTCGTGGATCGGCCCGGCAAAGAAGTCTTCGCCCCTATGGATTTCGCCATCGTCGCCGGGTGGAAGGCTATCACCAAGCCTATCTTCCCCCGTACAATCGATGGTGACCTACTGAAACTGGTTCATCTATCCAACGGCTTCAAAATGGTCCCCGGCGCTCAACCTCTGAAGGTTGGTGACGTCTTGGATACTTCGGCTCAAATCAACTCGGTCATCAATCAAGACTCCGGTAAGATGGTCGAGGTCTGTGGCACTATCCTCAGGGACGGTCAGCCGATTATGCATGTAACCAGTCAATTCCTGTACCGCGGTGCCTATTTGGACTTCGAGAATACTTTCCAGCGCAAGGATGAGGTGCCTATGCAGGTCCATCTTGCTTCAAGTCGTGATGTGGCCATTCTTCGGTCTAAAGAATGGTTTCGGATGGATGAAAGCGATGTCGAACTCTTGGGTCAGACCTTGACTTTCCGTCTACAAAGTTTGATCCGCTTCAAGAATAAAACCGTTTTCAGCAATGTTCAGACTGTGGGCCAGGTGCTCTTGGAATTGCCGACGAAGGAGGTTATCCAGGTTGCTTCTGTGGATTATGAGGCGGGCACTTCTCATGGAAACCCTGTCATCGATTACCTCCAGCGAAATGGTACTTCCATTGAGCAGCCAGTCTATTTTGAGAACCCTATTCCTCTTAGTGGCAAAACTCCGCTGGTCTTGCGCGCTCCCGCGTCCAACGAGACATACGCTCGTGTTTCTGGAGACTACAACCCCATTCATGTCTCACGAGTTTTCTCTAGCTATGCCAAACTACCCGGTACCATTACCCACGGGATGTACACGAGTGCTGCCGTCCGAAGCTACGTCGAAACCTGGGCCGCAGAGAACAATATCGGCCGCGTTAGAGGCTTTCATGTCTCACTCGTCGGCATGGTTCTGCCCAATGATATTATTACCGTCAAGCTGCAGCACGTCGGCATGATTGCCGGTCGCAAAATCATCAAGGTTGAAGCCAGCAACAAAGACACCGAAGAGAAAGTGCTCCTGGGTGAAGCCGAAGTAGAACAGCCAGTCACGTCCTACGTATTCACCGGACAAGGATCTCAAGAGCAGGGAATGGGTATGGAACTCTATGCCAGCAGCCCTGTCGCAAGAGAGGTCTGGGATCGCGCAGATCGTCATTTCATCGAGAATTACGGTCTTTCTATCATTGATATCGTTAAGAACAATCCCAAGGAACTCACCGTCTACTTTGGGGGTCCTCGCGGTAAAGCCATTCGTCACAATTACATGTCAATGACCTTCGAAACCGTCAACGCGGATGGGTCCATCAAGTCGGAGAAGATCTTCAAAGAGATTGATGAAGAGACTACATGCTACACCTACCGCTCACCTTCTGGGCTTCTTTCTGCGACCCAGTTCACACAGCCGGCTCTAACATTGATGGAGAAGGCAAGCTTCGAAGACATGCGCTCGAAGGGTCTTGTCCAAAGAGACAGCAGCTTTGCCGGTCATTCGCTCGGTGAATATTCTGCCCTCGCAGCCCTTGCGGATGTCATGCCCATTGAGAGCTTGGTTTCAGTGGTTTTCTATCGTGGATTGACAATGCAGGTGGCCGTGGAAAGAGACGAGCAGGGGCGCTCAAACTACTCGATGTGCGCCGTCAACCCTAGCCGCATCTCGAAAACTTTCAACGAACAGGCTCTCCAGTATGTCGTCGAGAACATCTCGGAGCAAACCAGCTGGCTCCTGGAGATTGTTAATTATAACGTTGCGAATATGCAGTACGTTGCTGCTGGTGATGTAAGTCCCTCCGCCTCGGATCGTGTATAAGTCGTCCTTGCTAACCATGGGAATAGCTACGAGCGCTTGATTGTCTCACCAACCTACTCAACTATCTGAAGGCTCAGAACATTGACATTCCCGCTCTCATGCAAAGCATGTCTTTGGATGACGTCAAGTCTCACCTCGTCAAAATGATTGACGAGTGCGTGAAGCAAACAGAGTCGAAGCCGAAGCCTATCTCGCTTGAGCGTGGCTTCGCCACTATTCCCTTGAGAGGTATCGACGTTCCGTTCCACAGCACTTTCCTTCGATCCGGCGTCAAACCATTCCGATCATTCCTGCTCAAGAAGATCAACAAAACCACTATTGACCCCAGTAAGCTGGTCGGAAAATACATCCCCAACGTAACTGCGAGGCCATTCGAAATCACCAAGGAATACTTCGAGGACGTCTACCGCCTCACAAATTCGCCAAGAATTGCTCACATCCTGGCGAACTGGGACAAGTATGAGGAGGGAAATGAGAGCGGGCGCTAGAGTTGTTGTGTTCTTGTAGTACATACATAGGCTTTGACGTCATTATTCATTTGATTTGAGCTTCGAGCTTCCAGTGCCTGCGTCAGTGGACGTGCAAAATCGATCAAATATAAACTCCTCTTGACAGGAGTTCTTGGCGGTTACCACAAATTCAAATGCCAGTGCAGAGCCCAAAATTCAAAAAGCTATCCCCTTGAATCGCCACTGGACCGATCCATTCCGGTCACCAGCTGCATACGAGCTACTGCCTTGTGACAGTATCAGTCGATTTTCCACACAGCAAAGGGACCATTAATACCTACCAATGACTCTATATCACCTCCACATCCTAGGTGGCTCAACATTTACTTTACTCCGCTCAAAAAAGAGAAAACTTTCCTCATGCTATCAGTCCTTGCGCAATACAGTAAAATCCATTGCGGGTTGAGATTATTCGCAAAGTATATTTCGGCGAGTAATCTGGGTGCCTGAGATTCGGAATTACAATTCCTTCAACATACCGGGCCGTAGCAGCCTGTCCTCCTTTCCATAGACCCCGACGTCCTTGACGATCGCTATGAATCTCCTGTGGTTCTCCTTAGATTCACCAATACGAGGACGGAAAATTTTCAACAGATCACTGCTTAGGATTCCAGAAGGTGGAATAGCAGCATGGATCTCGGCCGGTGTAGGAAACATGTGAGCGCTGTTAGATGGCCCTGGTGTGGAGATGCGAGTTGGGCCTATATAGAATTGTATGATGAGTACTCGTGGATCCAATAAAAAGAAACAAACATAAACCTACCTCTTAGAGACTCCGGACTGCTCGCACGGCTTCCAGAAAGACCCTTGTTACTCAGGGGAACCGGGCTGCCCGCCCTGGAACCTTGCGGCGTCCCACTTTGTGGGGTCATCGAAGGAGGATTGAGCTTCAATTTTTTGATCTTTCCACTTTCTCCTATCTCACCTCCAGACCCTGCGCCACCCTCCATATCGCTTGCAGAACCTGCCCCGCCGACCGGGATATGGCGAACACGCTTTTTGCTTACCTGAAGCTGCATTAAAGATATGATCACTCGTGAGACCAAAATGTGTACTTACAGGTGCTGCCGAGGAGGTTGTAGACATGGGAAGAGATGTCGATTGTGAAGCCTGGGTAGAAGAATATTTGCTCTTTCCCTTCTTGCGCGAAGTGTCGGTGCCACTCGCATCTGACGGAGATCCGAGACGCTTACGAGATGCTGCTTTCTTCAAAGAATCGGTGTGCTTTGTTCGGCCAGACGGTGTAGTGTTGCCTTTGGAGGAGGGATCCTTCTTGTCTTTCTCCTCCTCGGCCTTGCGCTCCTCTTCCTTGAGCCTTTCTGCCTCGCTTTCATCGGAGCTCTAACGGGATTTAGTCACAACGGCAGAATGAATTGTGTACTTGTGGAGGCTTACCTCTTCATCGGAGTATGGATTGATGTCCGAACCACTGCTGTAATCATAGTTCTTTTCTCTTTTCTGGAGTGCCTTTCGTACTTTTTTTCCGAGTACTCGACGCGCTTCCTTCTCCTTCTTCTCTCTTAATTCTTCATCTTCGTAATCCTTTTCTTCTTTGAGGTTGAAGACATTCGCTTTTAGCTGATCCTGTTTGATCCTTTTTTCAGCCGCCTTTGCTTCCTCATCTTCATTGAAAAGGTCATCATGTTCTTCATCATCCGCAAAGCGATCTTCTTCGAAGTCCATATCATCAGCCTCCAACCCTTCAGCGCCGCCTGGCGTACCTTGCTTTCCGGCATACACTTTTTGCTGTTTAGCGAATTGTTCTAGCTCCTTCTGCTGGGCCAATTCTTGTTGTTTTTCCATGAACCATCTTGGGTCTTTCACCTTCTTTGCCATGAATCTCTCTGCTTCCTCGATAGTCAGAGCCTTGAATTGATTCTTCGCACTGAAGCGATACCATTTCTCAACTGGAATCATCCTCATTTGCCCTGTCTGCTCGAAGACAAATACTGCATGTGTTTCGGAAAGGGCAGCTTCATAATTCCCAACCCAAATGTTCTTGTTGTCGAAGTCTTCCAAATGCCACGGCAATGCTTCTTCATATTTTATGCGTGTTCTGGCAATCTCCTCTGGTGTCATATCAGTCCTAGAAACCTGTTGGGTCTTTTGCTTCGGGGCATTTGGTCTTTTTGGTGCTGAGCCCATAGAGGGGGCGATTTGCGCCATGTTATCGGCACGCTCTTTCTCTCGAGCTGCTTTCTTAGCCTCCAACTCCTCCCGATCAGCGTCATCACCCTGGTTAGCGGACTCAGAACCAGTTCGTTGGTTTCCCAGGCCTTTCTCGGCGTGTGTGTCATGCGAGCGTGTCCGTGGGTCTCGACGCTGAAGCCTCACAGGTCGAGTGAATTGTGCTTCGTCCCGAGGATCGACTGATTTCTTGCTTGAGAATCGTGCAATGTGATGTTTCAAGCCTTCTCGTATTGCTCGTTTCGTCGTCACAATAGGATAATCAACAAATGTTTCCGACAGCCGTTGCCCACTGAAACCATTCGTGGAAAAATCACTCCCGGTAATCGAATTTGTGTGTTTCTCGGGTCTAGCCGTCGACAATGTGCTAGGCAGGGCTTGTCTAGAAGGAAGGGGCTTGTGAGCACCATTTGCAGAGGTCGGACCAGGCGGCCCTGTCATCGGTCTTCGTTTTGGTCGTACGAGAGGGTCCGCCACTTTCGGTCTACGAATCCTCATCGGCGGTGGTCCATTTAAGCCCGCTGGAGCTCGTGGGGCTGGGTTATTTGGGGGGGGTGTCATAATAGCCTTCAACAACTTTCAGAGCTTACCGCGGGCTGGCCAGCGATGGGTGGGAAAACGAATTTGATTTTAGTGACACTTCAGACGGAGAGACTAGCCCGACGTGATTGCGAGGTTCTGTGGTAGCCTGTGATGTGACTGGCGAAGGTAATGAGAGGAACAGAAAATGAGATGAAAGGTAGAGAGGGCAAAGAGAGTAGACACTATGTTCGTCACGGGAAGTGGGTTATATAAGCACGGTGCTTCTGCGCCTTTGTCACCTCGGAGCGCGCGTATCCTTGTTGCATGGAACACTGATTGTCCGAATCCTCAAATCAAGTCATAACATCAACAGCATAATACGTATATATCACCGGGTTGAGAAATCTTTACTATGACTGATTCTACTATCATCGCCCGTGCAAAACTTTTCAGAGCAGAATGCTTTGCATGCTAGCATTGCGTGTCAGCAGTGAAAACTCTATATACTATAGTATCAAACTTGACGATTTTTTCTTGAATCCTTTCTTGGTTTTCAGATACAGGAATGATATCAAAAGATCTCCACAACATCTCGATCATTACCCGAAACACTCACATCCACATCACCGGGTGTGTTATCACCCAGTAGCTGGCTTGTTTTATCCTCGCCCTCTTCATCACGCATCAAAACCTGGACTAGGCGATCACATGCATCACGCACACTTTCATCATCAACGTGGAGGTGACATTCCCGAATGATTGGATATACTTGGACAGCCCTCATCCTGTCGCGCCCCGCTCGTGTTGTGGTCAACAGCAGAAGTGTTTCAATGTGTGTTACAATGATGCTGGAATCGGTATCTCTCTGTTTGTCCGGCGGTAGCAGCTGGAGATCAGGCAGCATTTCCAATGCTTCCTCCTCGGCATATTCCTCTGGACCAGTAATCGGTAGCAATATGTAGGGGAGGATATTAGCCTCATCCTCGGACAGGAGTGTAGAATGGAAGGGGACGTCGAATGCAACATTTTTTATTGTTGATGCTACCCCTTTTCTCCGAATGGTACTCTTGTGCTCCGTGAACACCGTCAATTTTGTCACGGGCACGACGCCGTCATACTCCTGCCGTGAAGTGAAATAGGCTCGCCCGTCCTCAGATTTGGAGAGGTCGGCGAAGAGGTAGGATAGGTAATCAAAAGTTGCATGTTTGTTGAGAGCATTCTCAGCTCCCTTCACAAAACAATCCATCAGTTGGTCCATGGCATTGGCTGATCTTGAGACCGCGTCTGGTGCTTTCCGCTTGAGAGTGAGAAGCCTCTCCAGTCTACTGGATTTTGCTAGATTGGCGAAAAGCATGGCAACGTCATCCGCATTCGGCTCCTTGATATTCTATGAAGACCTGTGGCTTAGAAGACAGACTCCTCATCTGTGGCTAGCGAAGGATATAATTTAAGGACTCACAGTGATCTTCATAAGAAGCGTCTCGAGAAAAGCATCATCCTCGGCAAGGTTTGCCAGCACTTCTTCGTCCGCAGAAAGGTTGATGAGTATTGTCAAGGCATTTTTGGCAATTGGCTTTTTCCGACAGCCACATAGAGACAACGTCAATCATGAGAGGCGCAACTGGATGATTATGTGTGGGATTGAAGAACTGACTGCATAATCACGGACCAAAAGCTTGAGGTCTCGCACCGGCAAAAGTTGCTGGCGCTTGAAGAGCTCTGGCTGGACAGTCGAGAAACCAACAAGATTGTCGCACGCTGCCGAAAATTAATGTCAGTTGAAATGACGCATTGTACTGTGAACATGGTAGACACCCGAGCGGGAAAAGCGGCAGAGTGACTGGTCTTGACTCGATAGGTGCAAGTGGACTTGAATATATATACCAATCTGTCTTATCTGGGTATTGCCATGATGGAGAAACTCGACGAGCTTGGGTGGACGAAGGGCAGATTGTCAGCCGCTGGGAAGATTATTGTATGTAGTTCAGCATATATGCTTACCTCTTCTAGTTCAGAAGGCATTTTGAAGAATGATTGGATGTTGTGGAATCAGGCCTAAGAAAAGAGACAATAAAAGTGGTGCTTTCGATGTTCAATTTCTTTGTCTGAATAGGAGTTCTGCTGTTCACAATCTTTCTATTTCCCTTGCATCTCGTCACCCTGCTTTTCTGACTTTGCTGCTTGTTTGATTTTTTTTTGGCCAGTCAGTTCCTGCCCTTCCCCCCCACCCACTTCCCCGCTTCAAGTACGGTACAGACTACGTAGTTGGTGATTAGCACTCGCCCAGTGGAATTGGCAGAGTTTCTTCACTCTTAAGAACAGTGCGCTGTATCACCAGATTTGCCTGGCAAGCTTATCAACATAGTCTTGACGACTCAAAATTGGACGTGGCACAGTGAGGAATTGATGATACAGGCTAGTAATCCTTTGCGCCTATTACCTCCATTTGCATGTCAGACCTCCATGTTGAAGTACATGCTACTATATAAGTGAGCATACCCAACAGGCGTAAAAGCATCTATAAATTCAATCGGTAATGATGTAGCCCAAGTTTTGTGATTGGGAGAAATTTACACCTTCCGGACACACCCTTGGGTTAAGCACCCAAGTTTTGATCCCAGAATATGAAGGTCTCACCCGATATGCGCCAGAATATGGAATTATTAACTTCGACCGGTCCATGCAGTTGGTGTTATGATGCGGACTAGCATCTTTGAGACCCAAGCACGGGGATCTCTTCATCCCAGCCTTGATTGTGATGACCAGCAAGGTTCGCTTTACTTGACTCACTTTGTGGAGGTGTTTCCATATGTCCAAAGTGAGAATCAACAAGGTGCTGTACGACCGGCCATCCATGCGCATTTGTGAACATTCTTCGCACAATGATATTGTTGTGCGCATCGGGCTCAAGGCGTACAAGGACCTTACGCCAAGACAGATCTCGGTGATAAGCCCTGGCTATTTTTTCCTCAACTCGCAGACCACTCTGGGATTCGCCATGCTCTCGAAGTGTAGGTCCTTCCGAAGGAGGAGGTGCGGGATATGTGGGTCTTTTCTGTGAAGGGCCCAGGGTGAAGGTACGTCGTTTGGCAGCCGTTGGTGGTGGTATATCATCGGGAAAGTATATGCGATCGTGAAAGATTGTCTTGGGTCTAGCCGCAGGATCGACGATAAATTCAGGTGGGGGTAGAGGAGGCATAAGCAGATCACTTGCTGACTCAAAGAAAGTTGTCTTAGGAGGAGCAAAAGGCCCATGTTCGTGGGGTTGACGCCCAGCAAGCGTCTCACGAACATGTGAAATGGGAGACGTATGGTTGCGCGTGACTTCGCCAGGCGTTGCGATTGTCTGGCTCCGCTTGTATATTTTACTGTGCCTTTGTGCGGCAGATGGACTCTCTGCCTCCTTCGGGCGGATGAAAGAGAATAACTTGGCTAAAGGGCTAGACGACTGCGGCTCAGCTAGAGCCTCGCCTTCATTAGGATCGGCGACCGTATCAAAGGGACCAGGGCATGGATGTATGATTGAAGGCTGACTGGTCGGCGGCAAGACTGATTCATTGCGCATGACGCCATTATTCCCTGGTGAAGAAACACCTTGCACTTGCGATGTTGTCTTCATGTTCCGAAAGGCCTCGCCATCAGCCAACGCTTCAGCGTTTAAACGAGACCGTGGGGACTTCGAATTAGCTCCGGTCAACTCTGCCCATCCCCATTCAGCCATGGTGCCCACAAGACCATTCTCTCTTCGTGCCTTCTCGACCCTATCAAGACCTCTCCAGTCGAGGAAAAGCAGGCACGACGTCCGTAAAGGTACTATTCCATCGTTGACCACGTTAGAGTAAAGTGTGCGGCGTTGGAATTTCGAGAGCGCCTCGTGCGCAGGTCCACAGGGAAGTATACGCAAAAGTGGTTTGGACCGAGCGTCTGCGTAACCTTGCGACTGATTAGAATTCCCTCTTCCACCAACTAGAGCTTCCCAGCCACTTCTCGCTCTGGGTGCTGTCCAGCTAAGACCGAGGTCCTGCCCAGTCCGACCGACAAGACCTAAATCCAAGGCGAAACGAACATATATTGGGTTCTCATTGCTAAGACCAAGGAAAGGCGTCGCTAGGGTCACAAAGTTGATCGGTCTGATCTCGTTGAAGAATGCGGGGAAGTGCTTGTGAATATATGCAATGGCATATGTTTGGACAAGGCCACCAAGCGAATGCCCTATGAAGCTGATACTAGTTATCCGATAAGCGCAAGCTTCACAGACCGAAAGCTCTGACTTGGTACAACGCGGTTGGAAAGGATCTGAGCTTTGCTCCGCGGGCCGTTTCCGATTAGAGAACAGCCCAGTATGAGATCCTGGTTTTGTTGTACAATTTGGAGGATCCAGATGCGCCATTTGCAGGATGTACTTTGCCAGACGCTTGCCAAGGTATTGTATGCCACGCTCCGTACGCACTGCATTTCCAGCAAAGCCTCTTACTATGACTTGCTCGTCTTCGACGCCGCTAACTCGTTTACTACAGTTAGTAGAAGCGCGGTGCCCATCGACCCTAGCAATTGAAAAGTGTTAAAAGAGCGGGAGCTCATAGGCATGTGGGCAAGCACGGAGACTGCTCAGAAGGGTAAAACAGGAGATGATAACTTACAACTCTGGCGAGGACCGTCCAGTGGACGGACTTGCTTCACAACTTGGGCAACGACCTTCTGATTTTTGCTTTGCAGTTCTGACGGAAGCGTCGATACTTTCTTTGAGGAAAAGCATATCTGCTCCTAGATTACTATGTAGACCATGGGTCAACACAACAAGATGAATCCGCCTTTTGGGGTTCTCATTGAAGGAAGCCGTTGATGTGAGATCAGGCAGACTTGGTTCTCCGTGACCATCGGCGACCGCATCCCTGGTGAGCTCAACTTTCTCCTCCTTTTCTTTCTCACGGCTAGACAAGTGAAGCTGCGGTGTGTTCCAAAGACTAGCTGTATCATCCACTTGTAGGGTGACTGCTCGGGAGTAAACTCCCTTTTGAGCCAACACTTGCGAACCCTTGGACTCCGGTGACCAGTGTTCCTTCAATTGGGCAGGTTTTGACATCCCAGCCAAGGACATGCTACCCGCAGACAACAGATCTACCGACGCTGCATCGCGACCAACTAGAAGCTCAAAGCTTACGGATGCGGTGCTGGAGAACACCACCTGTGAAATGATCTCGATGATCCACGTAACACTCCCGCTGTCGTCCGACACCTCTGTTCTATTTGATTCACCCCGTGTCTCTTGCAAATGATGCGCCAGGGTTACAGACGCGTGCCAAGTACCTCCAGCTTTGAGATAGGGTTCATACTGTGGGCTTGCTTCAGGATCTTGATCAACAGCCTTGACCTTAGGATTGAAAGTGGATGGGTAACACGAGGCATAGAGAGAGTATGGACCATGAAGATACGCGGCACGCAAGGGGATGGGGGTGGTATTCTTGATCTTCACATATAATCTTCCTGGCGGTGGGCGGATATTATCTGCCGTCGGTGTATAGGTTAACGTGTATCTTGGTGGAGACAGTTGATTAGCGCAAAGAGTGAGAAGGCGTTGAAAAGGGATACAACAAACCGGACTACCTCGCCCACACGGACACTGCCAGCCTGATGAATCAAGAGCATCTTAGTAGCGCAATTCCGAACCCGGCCAGCAGCATGCCACCCTCGAATTGTATGATATTCAAGATCACTTGTGCCGTTGATAGAGACAAAACCTTGGTCTGGTTTTTGCGAAGCACGATACGTCCGTGGAGTGATGAACATGGAGCTCAGACTCAAATGGTACCATTATTCAATCCCATTTGAGACCTCTGCACCAAGTATAGACATTGAGTATATGTGCACTTAAAAAAATATTCATTTAAAGAGGCTGCTGTTAGCTCTTTTTGTGCAGCTATTATCAACAGATTTTAAGACAATCTCGATTCAGACTATGCGATTTGGTAGTATTGATGTTAGGGGATAAGTACAAATTCTGAAAAGGGGTTAGTGGCCAATTGTAAACCTTCCCCCTTATCTGATGTTTGCCACCTGCACCTGCCTTTGATTGCTACTTCACTTAATACCTACAGAGCTGTGTTCTAAAAGTTAAAAATAACACTAATTCTCCTGGCTGTAATTGATACAACACCTGGTTAATATTTATTGTATATATTATTATAATAGATGATGAATCAGTGTTAACTAAGGGTAATTCATTTATTTTGATATAGAAAAGCAAAAATAAGGTTATTAAAAAGAAGGAAATAATATAAGAATCTATAGAGTTAAGTCTACCAGTCTATTAACTATTGAATTGATACTCTTACTGTTATAACTATATAAGAATATTATAATTTTAATTACTATATTCAAATAATTTTTGATACTACACAGGAATTAAAATACTATTAACTATTATAATTATAAAATTATTTAGAAATTCTGTTTACTAGTAGATAAGAATAATTAAAAAATATAAGTTTAATTTTGATATAATCTATAGGATTTTCTCTAATATATTAAGAATATACTTTATTCTAGCTATCTAAAGAAAAGTATTATTGCTATAAAGTATTAATTCATTAATATTATATATAAAATTAGACTTCTTAATTATAAATATATAAAGTAATCATTTTAAAACTAGATATTTTAATGATATTAGTATATAATCTTTTAAAAAACTATAGTTTTAAATTGATAAAATTTATTAAAAAAGTCTGATGTTACTCTGGAGATAAAAAATAATCTTTTACTTTTTGATTTTTACCTAAAAATGATATAGAAAATAATGATTTAAAAGATCTTATTTTTATCAATAAAATAATAGTTAATTTAAATTAATGCTATAGTATTTAATAACATAATATTATTCTTATAAAAAGTATAATAATTTATATATCTATTATTATTAGAAAAATAAGGTAGATTTTATAATTTAGAATCTATTTTAATATAATTAAAAGAATAGAATTTTCAAGCTAATATATAATTACAAATAACTCAATAAAATTGATATAAATTCTTATTTTTAAAATTATAAAAGAGAAACAGGAAACCGAAAAAGATTAAAGTTTAAAATAGTCAATATAAAACATTCTACTAATAATAATAAAAGTTAAATAATAACTTTAGTTATATAAATCTTTATTTAGAATAATTACTCAGCTAATAATTTATATAATATTTTAGAAAGAAATAAAATAAAAATATTAAATAAAAAATGAATTAATATCAATACTGCTAATAGGAGATTAGGAATAGTCTTCTTTATATTAAATAATATATATAGACTAATTATTTACTTAAAAGATTCTTCTTTTCTATCTTTAATTCTCTTTGAAATAATATAAAATCAATTAATTTGATACTATGATTTTTAAGAATAGGATATTAGCCTATAGATACTATTTTATATATATTTTATGCTTTATATAGAAGGTTTAAAGACTTTTTGATAAGCAAAAAATATATCTTATTAAAATATGATTTAAGTTACTTAACCATAGTTTGAATACTATAAAATTTTTTTCAAATATAATAAAAAATAAAAAGAATTTAAAATTGATATAATAAAAGACCTAGGCTAAAATATTTTAAAAGTATATATCATTTGAAAATAATATCATATTATGATTAGGATAGGTAATAATTCTTAAATTCATGAATCAGATAATTTATTATAATATTTTTATAGACTTATATATTATTAATTCAATCATAACTAAGGTAATGTTAATCTCTATTTATTAATATCTACTATAACAGAGTAGAAGACTAGAAATTAAGTAAAAAAGTAATTAATCTTATATTATGAGATTAATCCTTAAAAATCCTATGTTTTATAGGATATAATAATCTAATTATATATATTCTTAAATAAAAAGGAGTTAGTTATAAATAATATAAATAAGAAAATTAATAATTTATTAAATTTAATAAAGGCTAGAGGTGCTAGATATAATTATTTGAAATATTATATAATAATTATATTCTTTATTGAGCTAGGCTACCTAGAGTATAATATAAAAACTTATTTTAATTTATTCTAATTTTATATATTGTTAAGCTAGATATCCACTAATATTTCAAATATAAATAGAAAGAATACTATGTAATAAATAAATACTTTAATCAAAAGATATTTATTAATGAATATATATATTATATCTTAATAATTCTTTAATTAGGACAAAAGAAGATCTAGGAGTATAATTAAAAGATTTATGTATATTATTATATTATTTTTTGTTATTTTTTCTCTATTATTTATTGTTCTTTATATATCATATTTTAATAATGTATTTTTTATTTCTTAGAATTCTTCTTTCTAATTTTTTATCTAAATATTTTATTTTTATAATATTTTGATATGTTTTTAATAGAATATTCATTTATATATATTTTTTATTAATATATTCTTAATTTTAAGAATTAACTTTTATATATATGATTTATATAGTAAAATTAAGATCTATAATCTAATGTATTTTAAAAAACTCAAGTTAAGGTATCTTTATAATATTATTATTTAATAAATATATAAATTAAAAAAATCTAGAATAAAATATTTCAATTATTAATTAAAGAAATAAAAATACATTTAAATATTATATTTAGAATTATTAAATTAAGATATAAATATAGATATAATTATATTATTTTTTCTAAAATGATTTAAATAATATAAATCCCTATTAAATCAATAATAAAGGTTAATTAATTTTAATTTATTATATTCAATTAATTGTTATAAATTTATTTTAAATTATTATATTTTAATTAGTAACCTAATTGTAAATGTATTTATTTTCTAATAATAATAAATATACTTTATAGACTAATATTAAATAAAAGTTTTCTAAGAATTTCTGTTAACTAAGATTATTTATAATATTATAAATTATTATTGGTTTTTAATATCTTTAATTTTATATTTCTTTTTATTTTTAAAATCAAAAAGGTATAATTTTCAATTTTTCTTTTCAATATTTCATTCTTATTTTAAACAAAAAGATTTGAAAGTATTATAAATTTAGTTATATTTTTTAAATCAACTAATTAATATATCTAAAGTTTAATAATATCTACTATTCTTAATATTCTAATATATATCAATATTATTTTCGAAAAAATTACAACTTTTATATTATAAATTAATAATTTTGGTTATAATATTTTATTTTGATTTTTAATTATTTAATATTAATATTTTTAGTAACTTTTTATAAATTTATTAGAGCATTTACATTTAGATTTTAATTATAAAAATCTTTTCTAGATAAATACTATTCTTACTATAAAAATAAAATTTTAAAGATAATTAATTAAGATTTTAAAGAATAAATAATTTATAATAAATATGAAAAATATTATTATAAATAAGTCAAATAAAAAAATCAATTAATTTAATTTTCTTAATATTCTTAGATTGAATTAAAAAATATTATTTAAAAACTTAATTATTTAATTAATTTATTGTTATTAGTTTAATTTTAATTTATATATAATATATTATTTTTAATTAGAGTTTATTAGTAAATAAAGAGCTTTTATAAAAAATAATATTACCAAAACCTTAAATTATAACTTAATTCTTTAATAAGAATATTTTATTAAATCTATAATTATAATTATATAAGAAATAAATATAAATTAATATTATTCTATAAAATTATTGAGTATATAAAAATTAGAATAAGATAAAGTTTTCTTAGAAAATTAAAGATAATTGTATAATAAAATCTTTTAATAATTCAAATAAAAAATTAGAATAAAATTAAAAAAAATTTTATATTTTATAATTATAATTTTTAGTATATAGAATATTCTCTAATATAAAAAATAAGATCTTTATAAAGATTTGTCTTACAAAATATATTTTAATAATATTTTAATTCCAATTTAACTAAAATCTTTGATAAACTTTTTATTTGAATATAAATTTAATAATTTTAATAGGTTTTTTATAAGTATATAGAAATAGTTTTTATATTAATTTTTTATAATCTTATATATATAATATCATAATTCTTAGAATATAATAAATTTCTATTGATAATTTATTCTAGAATTATTGTATTAAATAAACTTTTTATTATTTTATTATTAAAAATACTACTAATATATTACTATATTAAATATATATTACTATATTAAATATATATTAATTATATATTAATTATATATTAATTATATATTAATTATATATTAATTATATATTAATTATATATTAATTCAATATTAATAATCTAATTAATTAATCTTATATTAATATTTTAAACATATTTTATTTTTATATAAGTTAATATTATATAAATATTAAATCTAGGATGCTTTAATATATTAATATTTTATTATATTTAATCTAAAATACTTTCAAATTATTGTATTGATTATTAAAATGTTTTACACTATTTAATACTAGCTTAGTTATATTAAAAGATTATAATTTCTTTGAAAATTATATTTATTCAAGATAATAAGTTTATTACATTTGACTTGTTTAAAGAATATTACATTATAAAACTTATATATTTTTAATTTCAATAATTATTTAATTTTAATTATTTCATAAATACTTTAATGCTTTAATAGTTTAATAAAGTTTTGAATTATTTTTAATAATCTGTCAAAATATAAATATTAATACTTAAATAAATAAACAATAATTTGCGATTTAAAATATAGAATTAAATACTAGAGTTTAATAATATTATATTTCTAAAACTAGAATATAGTAAAATAATACATATTTTAAGTATTCAATAAAATAAAATATTTATTACATTTTATTTTAAAATATTATTTTCTCCTTAGATATTTTAATTTAAATCAAAATACTTTGATAAAAATATTTTTAAAAAAATGTTAAAAAGTCTTGAAATATTATATATTTTTTGAATTCAAATCATATAAATCCA